TTATCAGACACCCAACCAAACTAGGTGTTTCTTTTTCTAAAAAAAAGTGTAAAAAAGTTTTTTTTATATAAATATAATATTATATGAAATAAATTTAAGAAAAGAAGGGCCCCTGCGGGGCCCTCAGGAATTGCGGGGCCCTACGTTACAGCGTACATAACGTATGGGTAAATCCGCCTCTGCTCGTCCTGACAATGACGCATGCCATAATGCTTCTGGGCTGATTTGGGAGAGTCAGAATGCGTTCTGGTAAATGCTAATTCGAACGCGTTCTGTTCTCCCTTAGACGACCGGAAAGCGATATTTCGAACATTGGCAAGTGGCTGGCGGCCAAGACGCGTTTTGGCCATATTTTCCGTCCATTGGCCGAAATCGGTGTTTGCTCCAGCATATGTACTAAATAACTAAAGTGTTAAACGGCTTTTATACTACTCGCGAAATGCTTCGAGAAACACTTTTTTTGGAAGTTAAGGGAAATGGAATTGTGCCTCCACACTCCTCGTATTTTTTCGGAAAAAACTCAGTGCTTCTCTTAGGTTGAGATGAATCTTGGCTATTTGTTTGTATTGGAGTATAATGTAACACCAGTATCTTAAACTGGTATGAAAAATCAAACACAATGAATTTAGAAAACAGTTACCGATTATTGATTAAATTGGCTATTCCTCTGAAGCCGCACTCGTGTACTTGGCAAGTACGTCAATATTTGCGTACTAGGCAAGTATACCATTTTTTAAACACAACATTGGCAAGCTTGTTGTTCATACGATGCGACGAGTGTGACTAACTCGCGGTCCGCCTTTTATCGGCTTATAATCCACGGTGTTGCGCCTCATGAAGGAAATATACACGGAACTATTGAAAAAATAATCTAATTACTTCTTATTTCTAGTTATGGTAAAGTGTATACTTTTTTGTATTATAAAATATGTATTTTCTGATTGTTTTTTGCCTTTGATATAATTATCCATATAAATTATGGATAATTATATCAAGCAAAAAATTACTTATCATTAAATGACTTAAAATTAATTTTTCAATTCAATTCAATTCAAAATGTCTTTATTAAGTATATGAACAATTGTATACAAATTACTGGAATCACAAAGGTTGTGTCAGAAGAGAAAGAGGAAATACAAGTTATACGAAGACATACAAAGGGGTGTTAGACAGGGATGCATATTGTCACGATTATTGTTTAACGTTTATGCCGAGTATATAATCCGAAAATATCTTCAAAATTGTCCAGAAGGGGCTAAAATAAATGAGAAGATTATAAACAATATGAGATACGCAGACGACACCGTGGTATTAGCAGCATCTGAAGACCAGCTGCAAACCCTAATGGACAAACTGAAAGAAGAAAGTATCAGGATGAGTCTAGAGATTAACACCGTCAAGACAAAAACTATGATTTTGAACAGACATCCGCAAGACAATGAAAACACCGACATAATAATAAATGGCGTCCATCTCGACACGCAGAGATATATTTACTTGGGCAGGGAATTAAACAGCCAGCTAGACCACTCTAAGGAAATCAGAAGAAGGATTGAAATACCTAGGGCTGGTTTCCTCAACATGCGGAAGTTCTTATGCAATCCGAGAATAGCAATACCAACAAGGCTAAGGACATTAAAATGTTATATATGGTCCCTGCTTCAATATGGATGCGAAACATGGATGCTAAAACAAGAAGACATCAAATGCCTTAATGCATTTGAAATGTGGATGTACAGTCGGATGCTCAGGATAAGTTGGACCTCCAGAATAACAAACTGTGAAGTTTTAAACAGAATGAAAATTCGTGCACACCTAACAGGAACAATTAAAATCAAAAAGACTTACTATACCTTGGGCACATAATGCGGCACTCAGAATATGAAGAAATACAGCTCATAATCGAAGGAAAAATCGATGGAAAACGTAGCATAGGGAGGAAAAAGAAATTATGGCTACGTAACATAAGAGATTGGACCCACACCGACGGAAACACCCTTATTCACGAAGCTCTGGACAGAGTGTCATTTGCCATATTAACCGCCAACCTCAACAGAGAAGGCACCTAGGAGGGAGGAGGATACAAATTAAAATAATAACGATGGCGACGTTCACATTTGTGCTCTTCTACGCAACCATCCAAAAAAAAATATTAAGAAAAGAGTAGTAAAATGAATAATCAAGTTTTACAAAAATGATTAAAGTCCTACATTATTCAATAATTAATTACAAAATATATATATAAAAAAATAAGGTAATATGAAAAAAATTGAACACAAGTTTAAATATTAGTCTTTCATCATACGCTCTCCCAACACATAGCTCTTCACTCTCTTTTTAAAAGACTGAATGCCAGAAGGGTGTCCGATATAGTTGGAAATATCATTGTAAACTCGGACCGCATTATAGGAAAATTAGTGGAGTGCCCAGAGACTTTTACCTCGGAATACAATTACTGTGAATGTATTAATGTGAAACCTTCTGTATTGTGTTTTATAGGTAAAATACTAAAATGTTTACCCACTTTTTTTCGTTGCTTTTGATTTTTTATTTTAGTAATTTTAGTAAATTCTTAATTATTTCCTTCTTAATATTTTGATTTGTTTAATTCTATTTTTAAGTAAATTTATTGAAATAAATAAATTTAATTCATAAGCTATACCTATTCTGCTTATATTCTAATCATTGAAATTTTGATTGAAATCGAATTATACAGGGTGGCGCGTCATATACGACGCGGTTTTTGCAAGGAGAACAAAAGTTTGTATTGAAGTGAAATTTTGTAAGTCAATTTAAAGCATTTTCTAAAATTATGTAGAGTTCTACAGGGTGTCCCCAAAAAAATTTACACATCAAAGTTATGTTTTTTGTAATGGCACACCCTATATATTAATTGATTTTTGGATTCTAGTAAAAAAATAAAGGTTTGTTTCATTAGAAAAGTATATGACTAAAATGTATAGTTTTTGAAATACATTCACCGACACGAAAAATGGGCACCTTAAAACTTTGATGTATTTTAAAGATTAATATATTTTATTTTAATGGGCCGATTTTGATGATTTTTTAAGCAGTGTGTTACCAAATTATTTGAATTTTTAGTATCTTTTTCTAAATTAAAAATGAAACTATACGAGGGGAAACAAAATGTTGATATTTTTGATGAAAGTTTGAAATATCCTGTGAAACATGTTAAAACAGCAAGAAATTTGAAAATCATTTTATCATCTAGATACATCCTTTCTCGATGGTTTGTTTTTTGGTTCATCTCATTAGCTTTATTTTTGTTGGAAATATACGGTTTTAAAGAAGGCACTAACATTTTTTCGTAATTTTTACATTAAGACCATGCCTTTGCTTTTGGGCCTAGTCAACACATTTGGTAAGTTCTGGTCCCGAAGCAGGCCTTCTTGACATAAGATTTGCTTCATTTAATTTTCTTCTTGTAGTCCGTTAGTTAATATGTACCGTCCTTAAGTGCAATTCATTATCAAGTTGAAAAGCTGGCAAACAGCGGTTTCTTAGCGATAAACTTACAATAAGTCGATCGTCTCGATTAGAAGTTCTCATCTGAAGGTTCCTGGACGTCTAGATTGACGTCCTCATGGACGTGGTCATAATTCAAAGACCATTTAATATACTCTATGGTATTAAGATATTTTTGGAACCGGAATTTTATAACAAATTCACTGAACTCGAATAAATAAATGATATATATTTGAATCACCCTGTATATCTATAAAAATATTTTTGAAATGAACTACCATTAAATATATATTTTGTAAAAGGTTTGGAGTGAAAATCTCAAATAGGAATCCTGATACAGAGCTTTTCCGGAATACGGAGCCATCTTGTATGTATGCATTTGTATATGTGTTTTTTTTGAATACTAAAAAGTGAAAGCAGCGAATTTAAATGAACAAACTTTGTAATATATCTTATTAAGAATACAATGCAAAAAGTTTTATAAAAATTCGTTCACAGTAAATGAATTCCGAGGTTTGTATCCCATAAGGGCTTAAAGCACTCCACTAAATGAACGCTGGAACAAAGCTGAGACATGCCGAGGAACACTGTACAACGCGCCTGATCTAGTAGGATAGTTATGCGTTTCGTTTCGCTTATACTTTCTCAAATAGATACGTTGGTGTTTGGGATTCATTAATTCTATAAACCATACAGGCCATGTGCACAATAAATATCTCGTCCAAATTAAGCCAGTGAAACTACTCTAAAGCAATCCGATATGTGATCAAATTTCCGTAAGAAAAAATATTAATTAATTAATAACATACATCATTATACAGGGTGAGTCTTAAATAAGTGCAAATATTTTAGGGGTAGTATATTTCGACCCAGAAACACAATTTTTTCGCAAAATTTTTTTTTCAAAATTTGAAATTTTTTAAAATTTTTTTTTGGAAACTTTTATAGTTTTTAGTTTAAAAACATAACTTCTTGATAATCTGGTAACATAGGTAGTAGATTAATTTTACAAGAAAGAAAATCCAGAAAATAATCCGGTGGTTCAGAAAATATCAGCAAAAAATTATTTTTTGTCAACTTTTGAAAAATGACTTAAAATCAAATGACTTAAGTCATTAAAATAATTATTTAAATCAAAAAAAGACTTGTGAGCTTGCAGCTCTGCTCCTGACACGTTAAGCATTTTGGTTGGTTAAACAAATTTGTTTACGAGTAAAGCAACTAACAAGCTGATGCCCGTCTGGATTCTACGCAGTAGCATTTGAAAAATTGAAAAACACAATTTTTAGATTTCTGTTTCAGAGGCGAAAGACCCAATTGTTTTTCAAGAAAAAAAAACTCATTAAGGTATAGAGGTTATTTGTGTAAATATATTGTGTTAAAAATTGTATAATATTTAGGGAAATATAGTAAATATGAAATTTATAATACAAATATCCAGAAAACGACAAACTCAGATTAGAAGGCGCATGAATTTTGTACCCCATTTGTTTTTACAGAAAAATTATACTTACTTGTGCAAATATATTTTCTCTAATGACTGGCAAATATTCCGAATTATCTTTTGGCTTTCGGGGATCCCAGAGAGGAAACATTTTCGTATAAGCAAAATAAAGATCATATTCTTGCATAGTTGTGCTCTTCCGTGGATTTGAAAAGTAGGATATTTCAGGAATAAGATCCATTTTTTCTCCTTTCTAAAAATGTATGTTAAATAAATATACGTAAGGAAAATAAGTTGATTTTTAAACAATCGAATAATGTGTACTAACAGTCATGACTTATGCATGCGAAACCTGGATACTTAAAACGGATATTATAACGAAATTGCAGGTCGCGCAACATCAATGCAACGAAATGTGCTGGGAATAAAGAAGGAAGACCGTAAAAGAATTAAGTGGATACAACAAAAGACCCAAGTAATAAATATCATCCACAGAATCAAATCCCTCAAGTGGCAATGGGCAGAACACCTGCAATGGAATGGACCACTAAAATTATAGCATGGTACCCACGAGGAATTAGTAGACCTAAAAGAAGACCAAACCTGAGAAGGGACCATGATATTTAGGAAATTAGCAGGGATAACTTGGGCCCGCATAGCCAATAATAGACAACACTAGTCCCGAATACGAAAAAAAGTATCTAACTATGTGAGAGAGGCGACACCATAATTGGAAATGGTTGAATAAGTCAATTTGCAATTTTTTTAACTATCATTATTTTATGATGTTATTTTTTAACATCACGAGGTGGCTTTGGTGACACTGATTATAACTTTATATTAAAATTTAAAAAACGTTAAAATGTAACAATACAGACTTGATTTTAAAACATAATAAATATTAGTAACACTAAAAGAACTAAGAATATTAAAAAAAAAACTGTAATAACTAACTGCACAAACAAACAAAAAAACTTGTAAAACATACTCTAATACTTTGTATTGCTTCCCCCGGCTGTTATAACTGTCTGTAGATGTCGTTTCATAATGTTAATGAGTCTAAAATATGGCCTTTTGTTTTCCAATTCTTCTTCAAGGACAAAGCGGATATTCATAATTTCGGCCATATTCAACAAAATCAATGAATTTTGCACAATCTTCGACGCTAAGAACCATATTCAATCGTACACAACAAAATAATCACCAAAGTCACCTCGTCATTATGAAGAATAACAAAAAATCGGATAATTGAAAAAATTCCAAAATGTTTATGGCAAGTTCATTTTGCTGTTAAAAATTAACCAAGGCATGTGTTGACATGAGTAAAAAAACAAAATATTTAGGAGACATGGTTCTGACCCAAAAATAATGTTTTGGGAAAATTTGCTCACGAAATTATTGCAAAACTATTGGTAAAAACAACTCATCGATTAACCCTGTATAATAAGTCAAATACTAAAGTTTATAATAAACTGAGTTATCAGATGTGTTTAAATATTAATATTGCGGAATATATATCAACATAAAACGAGATGTAATTAACGAAATATTGGAAACGAAATTGAAAGAGACAACAGGAAACGCCAAAAAAATCCACCCAGACCTTTCTCCGCAATTTCACGAGTAGTTTTCAGGCGCTTTTAAGAAACGAAAGTAGGTCGAGACAAACCGAAATAGATCAAGACAACTGGAAATAAACCGAAATGCGACAAAGTTGGGCGACGAAACACGACCTTGACTTGTTTCGAAGAGTTATCCGCATAGTGTAGAACGTGTTTTAAACTTCACCAAAAATTTTTCCGTGGGAATGTATTCTTGTGCTAAAATTTTCAGTTCTACTTCAATTTCGAAAGAACTATATTTTCGGCGACTAACTAGGTAATTCATTATAATACATAAAATATAAAATGAATTTAACATTTTAGGCAGGTTGATTAATGTGATATTAAGACAGGCACCGATAGATGATGGATGAATTTATTTTTGTATCATTCGTTAGAGCCCCTACAGACGCTCAGATCAACACTGGCGGACTGTGTGGACCTATTTATCCGGTTTTACGCTAAATTATTGTTTTTAAGACTTTGTCTAATATTTTTCTTATATTATTAATTCTTATATTATATAATATTATTTCCTTGTATTATATTATTAATCTTTTTAACAACCGATTCCCTATTTGCTTCCCTATCAATCTCCTTTAGTTTTTCTACTGTATGAAGTCTTCACAAGCTGCGGAATAATAAAATTATTCCTCTCATAACAAGGCTTATTTTCTATTTTCCATAAACATGGCATACCCATCGGGTGCGTCTCAAATGTGGCTCACTCCAATAACTTTGTTATTTTTTCAGATAAAAAACGAAATTTGGTATGTTAGTAGGTATATGACAATAAATTAGGATTCATTGACGGTATTCATTCGTTATTGGTCACTTCCTGTTTTACCGGAAACGACTACATCTTTTGATTTGTAAATGACACCCTCGGTATTTTTTTTACCTTATTTGATAGAAAATGACACTTTGAATAGAATAACATATCATATATCAACTTTTGACATTTTTGCTTTAAAAAAATCGTACTTTAAATTTCAATCTAGAGTGTCATGGTTGTGTTAAATACTATTTTTTATTCAAGAAAACTTGGAAAAATATAGATTTGGTCGTCTAATGTTTTTCGTATCTTGTCCTGGCCGGTTAAAAGGTGCAGAACTCGTATTTCTAATCATGTCTCAATTTTTTGAAACGGAACGAGGGTGGCTCATTAGCATATCTGGAAAAAGCATTTTTTTACTAATAATTTGGTACTACACACTTGGTATTTCGAGCTAAATTGTCGTTATAAACCGCATCTTACAATTTCAAATAAACCATATGAGGAAATGTCAAAAGTTTACATATGATATGTCATTATATTCAGAATGTCATTTTCTATTGAATAAAGTAAAAAAGAAGGTGCCATTTAAAAATCAAAAGTTGTAGTCATTTCCGGCGAAATAGAAAGTGACTAAAAACAATTGAATACGTCAATCAATCCCAATTTATGTCATATACTAACATACCAAATTTCGTCTTTTTTATCTGAAAAAATAAAAAAGTTATAGGAGTGAGCAAAAAACTGTTTACTACAAATTGACATTTTGTTTTCTTTAATTAATAGGCTGAAAATATATAATCTACGAACTGGAAAATAAATAAAAAAATGAATGAGCGTACATAGGTTTAAGCTTCGAAGTATGCGCAGGCCGAATTCAAGCACGGTCTGATTTCGCGGCCGATGGTCTGAGGTCAGGCCGATGGCCTGCATAGTCGGCCAGAACTACCCACGTACATACACACAAACCAGGATTTGTTGTTAGAACGTAGATTGTTTAGGAGGGGAGTTAACCACCGCGACCTTACAGATCTATTGTGTGTTCCTCTTTTTGAGATTTAACGGGTTCTAACTGATCATACAGACTCAGGGATTTGACAAAAGCCAGTATCTGGGACGGGTCCACAGAGGTCAGCCTCTCCATCTTCGACATCAGCCGTACCAAAGTTTATGGCACGAACGATTGTCGTCTGAGCGCACCCGGTGATAAAATGTTCTGGTTTGTGACTTTAGCTTACTTCGGGTTTTTCTTATTACTGTGATACGCGTGCGCAGAAGGAAATACGGAGAAACTATTTCATTAGCGCATGCGCGGCAGAGTTCTAGGACAGTTCAGAATCGGTAATAATAAGAACCCGAACAAAGCTTACGTCTGAGTTATAAAACTGAGCGTCTGTGCATGGGGCCTTTAATGGTTAGCGCAGAAACCTTTTTTGTTATATTTTTGACAATTTTATGATTTTTATTTTACAATTTTATAACTCAAACATTAAATTATAAAAGTATTTTGTGATATTTTGACCGTTTTCAAGGGGGAGGTTTTCTTGGAATCCGCCGACGTACATATATCCCGTCTTATCTAAGTTTACTTCCAATCCCCATTTGCTGAATTTTTCGATCAACATTCTGATCATATACTCAAGATCGTCGGAGTACTACTTGGTCGTCTGCAAAACTTAAGGTATACTCGTATATAGTGTTGGCGTTTAACGGGATACCCATATGGCTACATTTCCGTTTTCATTGTAGCAGCGTCTTTTCTAAAAATATTTTGAAGAGCATTGGGGATAGACAGCAACCCTGCTTTAATTCTTGATTTACTGAGTTTTTAATTTTAATTTCTATACAGAAGTTTTTATATATTTCTTTGACGGCTTTAATTATTGTAGCATTGATGTTTGTTGTTTCCAATACCTCCCACAGATTAACAAGCGGGACGCTATCGTACGATTTTTTAGGTCAACGAATAGTAGATGGAGTTCCTTATTAACAGCTGACATTTTTTCCCGGATTTGAAAACGGTCAAAATATTAACGACTACATAAATTATAAATACTTGGGAGGCAAAATTTTAATGGATGGCACTTTTTCTAAAGCCATTAGGGACAGAAACGCTCAGAGAAGAAAGGCAATCTCTATGTTAAATGAGAGTCTTATGGGATAGTAACATCTCTAAATCAGCAAACGCCATATTTACAGCACAATAGTTAAAAGCTAAAAAATAAGACCGTGTGCACCCTGGAAGCGACAGAAATGGATTTACGGTGACGGTCCGGTTCGTAGGTAAATCCAGAAGGGAAAGGTGTACGAACAACAGAATACGAGAAATTATGGGGATCAATCGAACAATAGCTGATGACATAAGAACGAATGGTGGTCACGTACAAAGAATGTTAGAGGAGAGGCTTCCAAAACAGATCTTCAACTGGACACCAGCGGGACGACGAAAATGGTGTAGACCACGCAAGAGCTGGTCTACCCCTATCCAATAAGGATTAGACGACGAGGTAAAAGAACGAGAGCTCGAAGTCGACCTCTGGCTAGATAGGGAGCAATAGTGACTGGGCATCGGAAGACGTCGAAGAACGTTTTAAAACCGATTGATATATATGTTACGGTTAAGGTCCGATATCCGGTTAATGTCGACATTACCCGGTTAATCTCGCGAATAACACACAACAAAACAACCAAAAACATAACCAAACCCAAACATTAACCTGTTAATGTCGACATTAACCGGACATCGGACTTTACCTGTAACATATCAGTTAATTCGCGAATTATCCGGTTAAAATGCCAATTAACCTACACAGTCGGTTGATACTTAAAAAAACAAATATATTAAAAATGTTCGCAAATTATCCCGTTAGAACGCGAATTATACAATATGATTGGTTATATCTGCTAACACTACAACCGCAAGTTATAATTATAATTTCAAATAAACCATATGTGAAATGTCAAAAGTTGACATATGATCTGTCATTCTATTCAGAATGTTATTTTCTATCGAATAAAGAAAAAAATACTGAGGATGCCATTTAAAAATCAAAAGTTGTAGTAATTTCCGGTGAAACAGGAAGTGACCGAAAATAATTGAATATGTCAATCAGTCCTAATTTATGTCATATACTAACATACCAAATCTAGTTTTTTTTAACAGAAAAAATAAAAAAGTTATAGTGGTGAACCACTTACTTCTGAGACGCACCCGGTAGAGACCATTTTTATGTAAAAGTGAACGCTATACAAATTTTATTTAATTTTTTTTCTAATCCGTTTTTTTTTAGAAAAAAATAATTTCATTTATTTATTTATTTTATCCCTTCTCGGGGGTGAATTTAAAAAAAAAATCACAATTCGTTTTTAGATGTAACTTATATCAAAAATTCAAGTTTTTACCAAAACTTCGTATTTGAAGACCTATTTTCTTGGACTATAAAAATGATAGTATCCATTAAGTTTGCTTGACAAGTGTTTGTTTTCCGAGTTGAGAAAACAACTCAACAAGTTCTCAACTTTTAATTCTGATCAGTCTTTACTTTTGGCTCTAAATAGTTGGGTCGTTTAGTTGGAATTAGTTGTGATGTCTAACAAAAATGTGAGAAATTTTTCAATAAACTTAACTGAAAGAAAATTAAATCCAGTCAAGAGTCCAAATAAAGAATACACCTATGTCTTTATTTTATGTAATAGGTATTTATATATTTTATTATATAATTTATAATATTTTATTTTGTTTACTGTATGTATAATGGAGAGTAAATTACAAAAGGCACATTATTTAATATTTTGACTGCATTACAAATTTTGATGCTTTTTAGACTTGGGTTTTAATGTTATGGCTGCACGTAACAATATAATTTTGTATAAATATAAATGACCAAATTGCATTAATCAATTCTAGTTTTCTATTGTTAGTCTTTGGTGACCGTTTGCTATAAATAATATTGAATTTTACTCTATCGTATATACTGATCTATGAAGATAACAAATATCGAAATATATTATTCAAAGCAGAAATAATTTTGTATTTACATTCTGATGATTATTTTATAATATTACTTGTAGGTAATATATAACTATTATACGGGGTGCGTCTTAAAAGTGGCTCACCTCCTATAACTTTTTTATTTTTTCATATAAAAAAACGAGATTTGGTATGTCAGTATACGACATAAATTGGGATTGATTGGGTGTATTCAGTTGTTTTTGGTCACTTCCTGTTTCACCGGAAATGACTACAACTTTTGATTTTTAAATGGCACCATCGGTATTTTTTTACTTTATTCAATATAAAATGACATTCTGAATAGAATGATATATCATATGTCAACTTTTGACATTCTCGCTTAATAAAAAATTGTACTTTAAAATTCAATCTAGAGTGTCGTGGCTATATTAAAAACACTAATTCTTCATCAAGGAGCTTTGGAAAAATATATTTGATCGTCTAAGGTTTTTAGTGTCTTGTCCTGGCCAGTTAGAAAATGCTCAAATCGTACTTTTAATCATATCTCAATTTTTCCAAATGGAACAAGGGTGGCTCATTAGCATATTTGGAAAAAGCATTTTTTACGAATAATTTGATACAACACACTTGGTATTTCAAGTCAAATTTTCGTTACGAACCGCAAATTATAATTTCAAATAAACTATATGCGAAAATGTTAAAAGTTGACATATGATATGTCATTCTATTCAGAGTGACACTTTCTATCGAATAAAGTAAAAAAATACCGAGGGTGCCATTTAAAAATCAAAAGTTGTAGTCATTTCCAGTGAAACCGGAAGTGACCGAAAACAATTGAATATGTCATCAATCCTAATTTATGTCATATACTAACATACCAAATACCGTTTTTTTTAACAAAAAAAAATAAAAAGTTATAGGGGTGAGCCACTTTTGAGACGCACCCGATATTATTACTATAGGCACAACAAAATATAATTCTAATAAATAACAAAAAAATAAATAAATTAAAAATAAAATTAAAAAATGTTCATTTATGCTATAAAATAGTGTCCTATCTGATATAGCGGAGAAATATAAATACCATAATATTTGAAAAGGGCACTTTTTAAAAATACTTTTTTACCAGTTGCAAAGCATAGGAAAATTGCGATGATAATTTAATTTAAAAATGTCAAAACCCATAGAGTGTAGAATATGACATTATGGTATATATTTATGAAATAGGAATATTATATCAAATCTACTGAAGTAAAATATATTTACATTTAAAAATCTAAAAGTTTCGTTTTCGTTTTGGTTCGAGTGTTTATTGTAATTCTGAATGTATAATCATAAACTTACCCATCCTCTACTTTCAATTCTACTCCATACTTCCTCACGGTTTTTTATTCGAGCTATAGGAGTATACCACGTAGCTTTTTTAGACATATCGGACTAATATAAGTCTAATACAATAAAAATATTATGTTTTTTTTATAAATGATAAAAGTATTAATGACAAAATGACACTGACAAAATATATTTTGATGTATTTGAGACATCGCTTAGAGGTTGAATACAATTCCTTAAAAACATAAACATTATAAAATAAAAGTGAAAAATATAAAATAAAACATATTATACCCTATTAGCAAGCGAAGTCTTGGGCCGATGTTTACATGTCTAGGAGTGAATTGCTATGGCAATCTAGTAATTCGGAGAGAAAAAAATCCGAAGTACATTCATTACATAACCATCTGACGCTATATTTCATGTGCGCTTGGGAAAATGCTCATCTTTCTATCTTCAGTATATCTTATTGTACCGAGCGTACTTTTTGTGTACACGAAAATCGACACCCAAGGACAAAAACGCCGACCCGGTATATTATGAGAAAAGCCTATTTATAACCAGCCTGCCGACTTACGAACATTTATATAGAAATTTGTGTCACCTACCTAAAGCCGCCTACTCACATTTACAGGGGCTCATCTTCAAGGCCTCTATAGATGATTTTATACAGGGTGTCAAAAAATAGTGTATCTAACTTTGGTAGGTGATTCTACAGATAAAAATAAAACAAAAAGTTCCTATGAACATAGGCCATAAAATGCTTCCCGAAGAAGTTTACAGCCCTCGAAAGGTTAAATAAAAATAATATATTTTGTTTATTTTTAAGAACCGTTTTCCTGAAATTTGGTAAAAGCGTTCAGTTACAAAAAATCTCATGAAAAAAACGCCTTCTGATGCGTGTCAAATACTTGTCGACGAGTAATGGCAGTAGTAGTAGTAATGCCAAAGCGAATGGCGAATAATTCCGTAACAGCCATGAAAGGGTATTTTCCATTAGGGTAGAGAGTACTACTGGTGGTACTTATTTTATTCTTATAGATACAGCAATTTCAACAAATTATATAAAAAGCTAGAACTTTTTTACGTAAAACAGGTGCTCTTCGTTTAGTTGAAAAGGTGAACGATTTTCAACATATTTGCGTTTAAAGATTACGATGCATCGATTTTAGTATTAGCGAAATGATAAAATGTAAAGAAATTTTATAAATTAATCTCCTGATTTCGCTAATGCTAAAATCGATGCATCATCGGAACCTTTAAACGCAAATATCTTGAAAACTGTTCACTGTTTCGAACTAAACGAAGAACCTTTTTTTACATCCTAGCAAAAGTCCTAGCTTTAATTGTTATTTATTAATTGATATTACTGTATCTATAAGGATAAAAGAAGTACCACCAGTAGTACTCTCTACCCTAATGGAAAGTACCCTTTCAGGGCTGTTATGGAATTTTAAAAAGCGAATGGCGATAATTCGCTTTGGCATTAAAATGTGTGTAAGAGTTCGAAATTTCAAGAAAAACGGTTTACAAATTGGACTAAATTTTTAGCCTCCTCCCTAAATTACCTAAGTGGTTGTTCCCGATACAATCGCTCCGCTCTCCTATTCAGTTGCCTGCAAATTGTAAAACAGCGTACACACTATGCCAGAAACAATTCGAAACATGTCAAGGTCGTATTTCGTCGCCCAACTTTGAACGCATTTCGATTTATTTCCATTGTCTTGACGCACTTCGGTTTACCTCGACCTACTTTCGACATAGTAATGGAAAAAAAACGATGAATTTTAATAATCGAGTATTCGAGTTTCAAGCGATTTCAATAATCGAGCGATCACTCGAGCGAAATTTTGCTCGTATTTAAATATACGATTTTTTGCCGTCGCGCGTCGCTTGTACTTGTACTCGTAACGCCAAGCAGTAAGCTGCGTGCACAGAGCGCATTTTCTTTCGATGATAGTGGTAAGCGACCAGCGACGAGTAGTTTCGCTTGATCAGGCATCGAAGCCTTGTCGATGTAGGTGGTAAAATTTTGTCACACTGTTACGTAACAGATAACGTCGTATAGTCCTATAATTAATAATGCAGTCACAATCAAAAGAACAATCCGTTGTTTGAAGATCTTTTACCAAAAATATTATACTGATAAAATGTTGCCAATCTGCAATGTATGTAGCAAATTCGCTCGCTAGGATCGCTTGCGTTCGTCGCTCGTTCATAATCGAGCGATGTCGGTTATTTCATTAATCGAATACTCGAGCGAATTTTTGCTCGAGTTATCCCATCACTACTGAAAACTACTCGTGAGGAGGGCGAGGGTTTTTTTTGGCGTTTTTTGTTGCCTCGTTCAATTTTGTTTTGTTTTGAGCTATTTCCAAAACGTGGCGGTATCTCTACCGGAGGATACATAAATCTCAGTGAAATAAGTAAACCTAGACGTTTTTAAAATAGCTGTTGTTACGATGATATTTTGTTAGTTACATCTCGTTTTATGTTATATTGATATATATTCCACAGTATTAATATTTGACCACGCGTTTATTATATGTATAGTAGATATTTAGGAACAAAACTTTACACTTAAACTGCAGGAATATAATTACAATATTTTTATGATTCAATTTTATTATAATGAATTGGTATATAAAATTGTATATGATATGTTTGTTTACGGTCTTAATTGATTAATATAACAGTAGTATTGCTTGATGAGGTATACTGGTAACATTATCAATATATCCGCTTGTGAAAATTATTAAATGACCCGATGTCAACAAAGTATGGTCCACGCACATTATTTAAAAGCAATGTTCTTTTATTGTTTTTAAGAAAAATATGCAAACGATACTTTTATTAGCACCCAGGATGGCTTGATATAAATCCATTCAACTAGTATTTATTATGCAGGGATTTAGACAGTTAAAACTAGGAAAACAAAACCAAATTCGTATAACACTTTACTACAGTATAAATGTTACTTTACTATAACCAGAAATAATAAATAATTAGTCGATTTTTTAAATAATTTTGTGTATATTTTGTTCATGAGGCGCAATACCGTGAATTATAAGCCGATAAATGGTAGACCGCTAGTTAGTTACTCTTTTATATGTTTTTTACTATATCGTAATTAATAATATTAGACAATGATTAAAACTAAATATTCTTGTGTATCCTTCGAGGAATAGCCAATTTAATTTGCCATCGGTAACGTTTTTATATCAGTTTTTACATGTTTACTTATTTTTATGAAGCCATAACAATGTTTGACCTTGATTGCCTCGTGCTATTTCACAAAATAGCACGATAAATATAAGCCCGTGTTATTATTAATCTAGGTTAACTATAAAAATCAAACAACCAATCACGGCGGGTCTCGATCGATTTCAGGAAACGTGGGAACTCATTCTTATAACACGAGCTTATATTTATCGTACTATTTTCAAAAATGTTTTGCGAAATGTTTCACGAAATATTTCCAGAAATATTTCGTAAAACATTTCGGGGATAGTGTAGCGGCTGTTTAGGGTGTATAGAACAATTGTACACAATCTAATTATGGTTTTGGATATTATCATCACGTTTCTGGGATAAGCTTAGATCAAAGCTGTAGGGAAATGATTGAGCCTCAATTTTAAGTCCTCGTCGTTTCTTCCGGTTACTAGATACCTTAAAGTCACAATTAATCGTTAATATTAAAACACTTTTGAGTATAAACTGACTTGAGAATGCGTATCTGAAATTATTGCCCGAAAACTAATGCCGAAGAAAAATTGACCTATAACCAATCACTGAAGATAGAATAGATAGATTCTTTGATGTGGCTATCGGCCTGATCTACTGTGACCTTTTCAGATGTATTCTGGTCCCCTTCTGATCCTTAGGTTACATTCTCCAGTCATATCCTTTTCAAAAAATCTACCAACTTGGAGACTGAACCCTCGATGTAGCTCTCCGTCAACGGCCTATCATTGTTTATTACCGAGAACCAGTGGCGGACTAAGCCTGTTGGGGGCCCGGGGCGGCGAAGCTAAATGTGGCCCCCGGTCTGTTGAGATAATGATATACTTCTAATGCACATTTTGTAAAAATTGAATGACTTATGTATAATGGTTGACAAAATTCAAGTATTTATACAGGGTGTCCTATGTTGAGCCTGCATTAGAAGTTTCTAGAGAACTACAATATCTAGATCCGAGATTTTGTTCATATCATTGTTTCACAACGAGATCTATCGATTAAAAATATTTTCAATATGACGGCACATTCGGAAGTACCGGAAGTTGACAGCAACTTTCTTATTTCAAATGGGTGACCGCATTTTTTATTACATACTTCAATTCTCTGTAAAATTTTATGAATTTTGATATTAAACATTCTAACCTAACGTTCACCGGTTTTAATAATTTTTGGAGGAAAAAAACTGCCTGTCAAAAATATGTATATAGCCTAAACGTCAAAAATTTAGTGATTGCCACGCTATGTTGCCACGGCTACTGTACCATAAAGAGAAGACATGTAGCTATCCATGGTAGGTGGCTATCTATGTCAAAAATTAAATTGTCCGAATGTCATCTAATAATGGCCGCAGCTGTCATGGAATTGAGCGATTAAAAATTATCATAAATCATTTTTTTTTCAAATAGTAATCCATTTTTTTTATTTCACTCGTGAAACAACTTTAGTCACTTTTGTTTTTAAAATTTGTTACTTTTTGACTATACATGTTCCCGTACTTAAGATAAATCGTTTTTAAGTTATTTAAGATTTAGCTTTAAAGCGTATATTTTTCTTGATTTTAACCAGTAGCCTATGACAGTATATCATCGATTATCATTTCCATGCTAGTTTTGCGCTGTTTTTTTTTCAGTCATACGGTATATTATTAAAATATCAACTATTAGATATCACTAAAGAACGAAAATACAAGATATATTTATATAAATACACTTTTTAAACTTTTAAGGCAGCACTATTTATAATATAGGAAATTCAAATAATTTATTTTCTGACAGATGGAAATAAATTGTCTGACTGTTTGACACTTCATATCAAAGGAAACTAGATAAAATCAAGAAAAATATCTGTTATGTTCAAACTAAATCTTAAATAACTTAAAACCGATTTATTTTAGGTATAGGAATATGTCTAGTTAAAACGTAACGAATTGAAAAACCTTTTCACCAGTGA